GGGCAACCTGTTCCAGTGTCTCACCACCCTCACAGTGAAGAACTTCTTCCTAATATCTCATCTAAACCTCCCCTCTTTCAGCTTAAACCCATTTCCCCTTGTTTTGTCATTAACTGCCCTTAGGAAAAGTCCTTCCCCAGCTTTCTTGTAGCCCCTTCAGGTACTGGGAGGCCGCTAGAAGGTCTCCCCGGTTTTCTGTCAGAGGTTGCCCTGGTGCAGCACAGGGAGGAGGAGCTGCCATTTCAAATACCATCTCACACTTGTTAGACTTCTGTTTTCATGTGTGATTATTTGAAGAATCAAAATATCAATTAGGAGCACCATTAATTGTAGGGTGTGGATGCCCCCTCCGTGGAAGTGTTGAAGGCCAGGCTGGATGAGGCTTTGAGCGTGGAAGGTGTCCCTGCTGCTGGCAGGGGGGTTGGAACTGGATGAGCTTGAAGGTCCCTTCCCACCCAAACCATTCTATGATTCTATGAAAACATGTGAAAATGAAACTGTCTTCAGCTGCTGAGCAGTGAAGGGTCATTTCACTCTTCAGAAAAAAAAAAGAAAATCATTTGAAGACTCTGCAAACCCTCTCCAGCCTCTTTGATTAACTCTTTGGATGTGCTCCTTACGATCCAACGGATCATCTTGACACTCTCCAGCTGCCCGGGGAGGGAAACTTGGAACTGAAAAGCCATAAAAGAGCCTAAAAATGCTGAGTTGCTTCCAACAGTGCAGGAGAAGGTTTATAAACACATCCAGGCTGGAGTCCTCCAAGCCAGCACACAATTAACCAGCACAGGCTTGTTTAATTAAGAGAGCTTTCTGCTCTTCCCAAAGGATGGAGTACCTGGAACCATCACTGATGGTCAGCAAAGAGCCTGCCTGCATCCCCGGCCGGCGAGTGAATCCTGCACGTGGATGGTTGGGAGATCAAGCAAAGCTCTTCTCACACCCCAACATTTGGAGTAATTTTGGCTACAATCGTGCTCCCCGACACGCTCCCAGCTTCCTGAAAGCAGGTTGAGGTGACTCCTTACAAGACCCCGTGTATCTCCCAGCAGGATGCTGTTCCTGGAGCATCGTGGTGGGTACCCAACTCTACAGCAGGTTGCTGAAAGCTCCATCCAACCTGACCTTGAAGACTTCCAATCATGGGGCCAACCACCCAACCTGCAAGCTCCAACATGCCTCCCAAAATACGCATGTCTTGACTTGGGTCTTCCTCATCTGGAAGCATGTTAATCTTGATGATGGATCTCAAATGGGAGATGATGGGGGAGGTTGGACCTTCCAGCAAGCTGATGACACCAGGAAGGTACATTATAGGAAGAGAGAAGGAGTTGGATTCCCAGTTGCCTATAGAATAACTGACCATGACTCCCAAGCCAACTGAGCCCTTAACCTGATCAAGAAACCTCTTAATTGTCACTTGAGGTTCTCCAAACATTCTGTTATTCATCCCATATCTCCAAAAGCCGGCAGCAGTGGGTAAGCCGGCGATCAACCCTTCTCCTCATGTCAACCACTCTCTTCTCTTGGCTTAAAAAGGATGAAACAGCCCTTATCCATGTGCCCATCTCCTCTGGCTTTCAAAAAAAAAACCCCTCAAATCTATTCCTAGCGGCGTGTGATGAATATTTATAGACCCAAATCTCTACTGCAGAGATCTGTCACCAGATAACTCCATCTCATAATACTTGTAGAGTCACTAAAAAGCCCCTAAAATTGCTCACCTCAGCTAACAAGAGGACAAGGGATTGAAAATTCCCTGGGACACGAGCTCTGAACGTGCCCAGAGATGCAGAATGAAGAACCTTTTTTTTTTTGGCATGGCAACACGCACGTGGTCTTCTCCTCACTCCAACCCACCACCTGCAGCCATGTGCTGCGTTTCTGGCTCGTTTTTATACACCTTGGTAAAGTTTCTCCCTTCCCACCACTGCCTTGAAGATCTGAGCTGCTAAAACAGGAAGCATCTGGACAAAAAGGGGACAGCACTAGGGCTGGAGAAGGTGGCACCAGTGCTGGAGAATATGGGACCAGTGCTGGGAATATGGCACCAGCACTGAAGAAGGTGGCACCAGTGCTGGAAGAGATGGCACCAACGCTGAAGAATATGGCACCAGCACTGGAGAAGGTGGCACCAGCACTGGAGAATGTGGCACCAGCACTGGAGAAGGTAGCATCAGTGCTGGAGAAGATGGCACCAGCACTGGAGAAGGTGGAACCACCACTGGAGAAGGTAGCATCAGTGCTGGAGAAGATGGCACCAGCACTGGAGAAGGTGGAACCACCACTGGAGAAGGTAGCATCAGTGCTGGAGAAGGTGGTACCAGCACTGGAGAAGGTGACACCAGTGCTGGAGAATATGGCACCAGTTCTGGAGAATATGGGACCAGTACTGAAGAAGGTGGTACCAGTGCTGGAAGAGATGGAACCAACGCTGAAGAATATGGTACCAGCACTGGAGAAGGTGGCACCAGCACTGGAGGAGGTGGCACCAGCACTGGAGGAAAGTGGTATGAGCACTTCAGAAGGTGGAACCACCACTGGAGAAGGTAGCATCAGTGCTGGAGAAGGTGGCACCAGCACTGGAGAAGGTGGTACCAGCACTGGAGGAGGTGGCACCAGCACTGGAGGAGGTGGCACCAGCACTGGAGGAAGGTGGCATGAGCACTTCAGAAGGTGGAACCACCACTGGAGAAGGTAGCACCAGTGCTGGAGAAGGTGGCACCAGCACAGAAGGTTGCAGCAACCACAGAACATCTCCCCATGCTTCCCCCAGCCCCACCACTTTGCTGCAGAAGGAGCTTACCAGCAGTTTTAGGGGAAACTACCCCAAAACCACAACTTATCAAGAGCATCCCACCAGCACGGACGCAGATGGGTCAACTCACCTGGCCTTGTGTCTCCAGCTTGACCTCCTCCGTGGCAGGAGGTTTGGTGAGCGGCACCGGGGCCGTGTTACAGGGCTCCATCTGCTCCGTCTTCTCCACCTTCACCTTCACATCATCCAAGCTCAGTGCCGGGGCTGCAGCAAGTTCCTTCTCATCCTTGTCCAGCAGATAACGTAGGAGCTGGTGATCCTTGACATCTTTTTTCTTCAAGGCATCTGGCTCCAGTTTGATATCTGGAGTTCCTGGTAGCTGACTCTGAGCCGTGGGGGTGGTGGTAGGGTTTGAGGTGTTCTCCTTCTTCTCATGCTCCATGGCCAAGGTGGTAATATCAGAAGGGCTTCCCTCCTGAAGGAGTCGATGTAAAATCTTGTGCCTCTCGGTCAACGAGCTGTGGGAGGAAGGGCAGGAGCTGCTGGGAGGGTTGCCAGAGGTCAAGGTGCCAGCGGTGCCCGCGCAGACTAACGAATCTTTGCAGCTCGTGTCCGCGTCGGCGTGTCGAAGCTGCTGCTCAGCCGTGGTGGCCAAGAGCTGGACCAGCTTGTGGCTGGTGGCTTGGGAACACTTGTTGTCCCCTTCTGAGAGGCGGTCGCTGGCGTGCTGCAGCATGCCTGAGTCCAGAGGTTTGGGGTCACCTGAACCACCATCCGACTGGATCATCTCGCTCAGGATGGAGGCGATCTCCTTGCTGTCCTTGGACTCTGCTTTCATGGGTTGCATGGCGAGGCGGCCGGGTGAGCTCTGGGAGTTGAGTTGTCTCACCACAGGAGATGGTGTGGAGTAACCCACTGGTGTGTTGGGACCTTCACTCAGCCCCTGCATTGAGTTTATGGGTGCATTGGGAAATGATCTGGTGCCACCGGTGCCACCACCACTCCCACTCCCACTGTTGGCCATGCCCACGGGGGAGTGCATGGTGGGCATGGTGGGTGAGAAGGGATTGCTGGGCACTCTGGGTCTGGGCACAAGCCCTGGGCTGACTCGATGCCTTGGAGACATGAACTGTGGTGGGGTAATCCCTGGACTATTCATGGGGGAGCTATTGAGGTTCAAAGTGTGGTTACTGTTCTGGGGACCAGCTTGTCCCTGGCTTAAGGCAACGTTGGCTCCTATCTGGTTTCCAGGTGAACATCCAAAGCTGGTTTGGCTGGTGCTGGAGTTGCTGTTGTGGAGGCCGGCGCCTGGTTGCTGGTTCACGTTGGTGGCCAACATGCTGCCGTTGGAGGGAGGGATGGAGGGTGGGATGGCCATGCCTTGACCCGGGGAGATGTTGGGGTTCAGCGAGGGGCTGACCCGGGGAAGGGACATGGTGGAGTTAGTGTTCTCCTGGGGTGAAAGCATGCCGTGATCCCTGCAGGAGATGAAAAGGGGAGGAAACGTCACAAAAGGCTTTGCTCCTGCTCCTCTGAAGCCTGGAGAGGAACAGCTCACAAGCTCTGGTGGTCTTAGCCTTCCCATCTCCATCTGGATCTTCTAGATCCATTTCAGTAGCATGGATGGAGAGCAGCAGCTTTAGTATCTCCCCAGGAACGTGACACTGCTCAGGACTGCAGCTGCTCACCAGCTAAACCCTGGAGGCATCACTTTCTTTGGGTCTTATGTTCCCACAGAGCTGGAGGAGGACCGTGCTCCAACAACATTCTCCTCCACCCCAGCCCCCTCACATTTCTCCAGCACAGCCCAGGTCCACAGCCTCACCTCTCCCTGTCCTGCTGCTTTGTCAGAGCCCCTCCTTCCCCAAATATTTTAAGTTCTCCAAGCCAAGGCAGAAAATCTGAAGCACGTTTATTAACCTCCACCTGAACTCCTGGGGCCACCTCTTTGCAAAACAAGATCCATCAAGACCAACAGAGCTGCCACCACGGTGGGTTTCAGCTTCAGCTTCCCCATGGGGATCACATCTCCAAACCAGCCCCACAGACCATCAGTGGATCCTCCTTCCACTGTAAGGAACAAGCACTTTGACTCCTGGCCACCCACCCAGGTGCTGGCACAGCTTGGGAGTGGTGGGGTGAGGACATACCTGTCGATGACGTGGATGCCCATGATGAAGGGCTGCATCTCCGGGCTGGAGGGGTAGCAGAGTTTACACTTGGTGTGGGCACTAAGCACCGTCCCGTCGCTCAGGGTGAATCGATAGGAAGGGCTGAAGGCTGTGCCACGTGTCATCACTGAAGGAGACAACCAGAAACACAAGAACCCTGCTTAGAAACTCCAGCCAGAACCCACACAACACCCTACAAGCACCAGGAGGAGGATGGAGAGAGAAGAGAGGGAGAATCTGCCTGGGACAACCACCTTCCCAGCAAACAAAACCACATGCTAACCCTGTAGACCCAAGAGGGTCTACGTAGACCCCCCCAGCTGCTTCTCCAGCTCCAAACCCTTGTCCTGCATTGGGTAGATCTAAATCCATCCAGCACCATCCTTGAGTGCTCAGAGCTTCTGATGGAGCCATCACTCAAACACCAGCGTGCAATGTACAAGCTGATCATAGAATCACAGAATTGTTTGGTTGGAAAAGACCTTTGAGATCATCAAGTCCAACTGTACCTGTCCACTACTGAACCAGATCTCTGAGCACCTCATCTACCTGTCTTTTCTGATGAAGCCCAGCCAGGCTGGGAAGGTGCAGCAGGACGCTGCTTCATAGAATCCCAGACTGGTTTGGGTTGGAAGGAACCTTCAAGCTCATCCAGTCCCAACCCCCCTGCCAGCAGCAGGGACACCTTCCACTAGACCACGTTGCTCAAAGCCTCATCCCAGCTGGTGGAAGGAACCTTACAGCTCACCCAGTTCCAAGCCCCCTGCCATCAGCAGGGACACCTTCCACTAGACCACGTTGCTCAAAGCCTCATCCAACCTGGCCTAGAACACTTCCAGGGAGGAGCAGCCACAGCTTCTCTGGACAACCTGGGACACTGGCTCACCATCCTCTGGGTGAAAAATTTCCTCCTAACATCCAACCTAAATCTCCCCTCTCTCAGTTTAAAACCATTTCTCCTTGTCCTGTCACCATCTGCCCATGGAAAAAAGTCACTCTCCCTCCTGTTTCTAAAGCTCCCTTCAGGTACTGGGAGGCCACTAGAAGGTCTCCCCGGAGCCTTCTCTTCTCCAGGCTGAACAGCCCCAACTCTCTCAGCCTGTCCTCACAGCAGAGCTGCTCCAGCCCTCGCATCATCCTCGTGGCCTCCTCTGGACCTGCTCCAACAGCTCCACATCTTTCTTGTGCTGGGGGCTCCAGGCCTGGACACAACACTCCAGCTGGGGCCTCCCAAGGGCAGAGCAGAGGGGAACAATCCCCTCCCTGGCCTTGCTGGCTCAGGAAAGAGCTTCTGCTGCCTCTGCTTAGACAATGGGGATGGTGTTTGCAGATGGCACATGAAAAAAAACATGAAAATAATCATCTTTATCTCCTATTTGTCTCAATTCTGTATTTCCTGAAAGGTGAGAGGGAACGTCCCGGCTGGAGGAGTTTCTCCAGCATCACTCAACCCTTCCCCTTCTCTCTTTGTGATTCTTATTGCAGCATTTGTTTTTCTAGAAAGCACTTATCCAGCAAGGAGGACCATATCCTGGCTTCTCCTTGCAGCTCCCACTGCTCAGCAGGAGAAGCACACCAGTGAGGAAGAGGAGCTTGTTACCTTCTTGAAAGAGCTGTTTGGCGTAGGATGGTTCCCTGCCCTGAGGCTGGAAGAAAGCGTAGATGCATTTCCTCACCAAGTCCTCCCAACCCGTCCTGCCAGCAGCTCTCAGGGAACTGGTGTCAATGGAGATGATTTTACCTGGGTGGAAGAGAGAGAAGCCACGTTACTCAAGCCCAGCGTGAGAAATCCCTCAGCACAAAGAGGTTTGTCAATGTGGAAAGTGAAGCGTCAGGCAGTGGTGGCAGGAGCACACCAAGAGGTCTTCCAGAAGGAGAAGGAGGTGGAGGTTCAAAACCCAACAAGAAGCACCTTTGTGTGAAGGAATTCTTGCTGCTCCAGGGTTGAGGTCCCCAAATTCACATTCACACCCAGTGGGACCTTGCCCACATCCAAGAGTCCTCCAAGGAGGACCTGCTGCCAACTTTCTCCCTGAACATGAAACACCAGGCAGCTTTACCAGCTGTTCTACAGCCATGGGCAGGGAGCAGCGAGCAGAGAAAACGTTCACTCAGGATCTTTGGGCTGCAGGGAAGTCCAGGGTGATGACAGAAGGTCACCAGAATGGCTAGAAAGCAATATCTGTCTGAGAGAAAACCCAAATCTAAAAGGTGACGACTGTTTCATTCCCATCAAACACAGAATCCCAGACTGGTGGGGTTGGAAGGGACCTCAGGAGATCATCCAGTCCAACCCCCCTGACAAAGCAG